AAGGGGGATGGATGCGGTTACCAATTTCGGTCATGTCATAAGAGTTTGTTTGTAAGTTTAAGTGTGCTTTTTCTCCAACTGCTCACTTGGCAGTTTACCTGGGTCCTTGACATAAATACCGCTAGTATTTGAGGCTAAAACACAAAGCTCAAAATACATAGGGTCTGGTCACCTGGGCTGATTAATATTGAGGCCTTGATACAATTTTCCCTAAAAAATAACTTTCACTAAAATATTTTATCTTGGACATGGCCTTCAAAAGAATACATTATTTACACATAAAAACACTATCAAATTAACACCACAATTTTATGGCCATTTGACGCAGCGCGGAAGTGATAACCTCGGAATCCACCAAGGGTGTTCTCTGAATCCACAAAGAACGATCTTCGAATCCACGAAGAGCTTCGAATCCACGTAGAAATTGTTTGTTGGAAATTTGCAGTAAAAAGACAATGAAAAAAAAATTAACTTGTATTCCTCTCAAAATCAATTACAATTTGGATTCCGATTACAAAAGAGAGGAAAATGAATTTGATTCTCCCCTTTGTTTAAAACTGGGTTCTTCACGGTGGCGATGGAGTGCCTCCTTCGAATTTGTTTAAAACTGGGTTCTTCACGGTGGCGATGGAGTGCCTCCTTCGAATGCTCGCGTCGAGTTTGCTCCCCGTTGACGATCCGCACGTCTTGATTCACTGGAACATAGTCTTCTCCTCACGATTTGACGCTGTAGAGAACTTGCAAAGCAAGTTTAAAACTCTTGATGAGTTGATAACTCTGATCGAGTTTGAAACTCTTGAAAAAGAGTTGATTTGAACCGAGAATCGATTCTCAAGCCAAGGGCGAAGCCTTCAAGGAATGCTCCAAAGGATGAATGCCGATCTCTCCCTTTGCTGCCAAGTCCCAGATCCGAAAATGCCAGCCCTTGACCGAGTCTCCCCTCTGTTGATGAGACCAAATCTCCGTTGATGAGACAAAATCTGATCCCTTAACTCAATTGAGTTTCTCGTATTTATATGGGATTAAGGATGGTAACTACCCCCTTAATCCGCTCCTAAGTGGGGCGGAAATCCCTCAGAACGTGGGATAAACGGTTTTGAGGCCGTTCAACTTATGTTTGAACAAGTCAAACGTCTAAATTGGCATTCTGGACCTTAACTCTGTGTCTTAGAGATGAGACGCAGAGTTAAATCTCTGCTAGAGATTGGAAACGCACAGGCCGCACGCGTTCTGTAAATTGGAGAAGCACAGTTGGGACGCAGAGATGAATTCTGCATTTTGACATCTGAGACGCAGAGATGAACTCTGCGTTTTGGCATCTGAGACGCAGAGATGAACTCTGCGTTTTGGTATCTGAGACGCAGAGGTGAACTCTGCGTTTTGGCATCTGAGACGCAGAGTGAACTCTGCGTTTTGGACCTGGAACGCAGAGTTGAGTTCTGCATGAACTCTGCGTTTTGGACCTGGAACGCAGAGTTGGGTTCTGCATGAACTCTGCGTTTCGAGTTTGGAACGCAGCTACGGCCTCTGCGTTTTGAATCTGGAACGCAACTACGACCTCTGCGTTTTGAGTTTAGAACGCGGGAACGACCTCTACGTTTTGAATCTTGGATGCAGAGGTGAGCCTTAGATGGGCTCGGCGAGCTTCAGGCTAAGTCTGATGTTCTGACGAAGTCCAGTCTTGCAGACGGACTTCAGAACATAACTTGCTGCGAAGAACAGGTCATAACTTTCAAACCGTAAGTCGGAATTGGACGAATTATATATAAAAATCGGCTATCTCGACGAGACGGGGCCATCCGAACTGAGCCAAAGGCTTCGGTTTGCTTCCTCCGTTTCGTCAAATTCCTTACGGTTTGAGAGATATCTGCATTCTAATATGAAGAGACCGTCAATTTGTAGTCTCTTTTGCTAGAGCTTTGCACATATCGTCCTCTTGTAATCTTCGTCTTGGCTTATTGAAAATATGAGAGTCGTCAGATTGTAACTCCCGATGTTGATTGTGAATGTTGTTGAATTAGAGCTTTCATCAGTTGTCGTGAAGGTCGTCAGATTGTAGCCTTCTACGTGAAAGTCCTCAAATTGTAGCCTTCTGGAAGTCGTCAAGTTGTAACTTTCATCATCGGTGTTTGATGGGGGATCAACTATCTATTGTGATTTTTAGACAGCCTACAGAAATATTAAGGAAAAACGAAATTTTATTAATCAAAAGTTATGCCTCTAGGGCTTACAAGACTCTTCTTAAATAGAAAAAAGAAACAAGACTCCAACAAGGACTCTAATTCCTATAAGGACTCTCTCTAATTCCTACAAGGACTCTGAACTTATCAAAAATAGTAAAGAATTCCTAAAAACATTAAAACTCCTAAAAAGAATCCTTATGAATAGGAAAGTCCACCGGTTAAATCTGAGATCAAATCGGATTTGTTTCCTAAACAAAACAGACTCATAAATTATTACTAAAAATAGTAAAAATGAACAAAATTGTAATTATCTCTCAAACCGTAAGGAATTTGGCGAAACTAAAAACGCAAACCGAACCCAAAGGGGTAGGTTTGGATGGCTCCGTCTCGTCGAGATAGTCAATTTTTATATATAATTCGTCCAATTCCGACGTACGGTTTGAAAGTTACGGCCGTTTCTTCGAAACAAGTTATTTTCTTCGACCAGGCCCACATTTGCGACTGTCCCACTTTGACATAAACATGTCTGCTGTGTGTTCTACATCACCATTAGATTTTAATCGAGCAAATCTCTTCACGTGAAGTCTCCTCTCCTCACTTCGCCATTTGCTTGTAATGCTTGCATGAAAAGATCTCTGCTTCCAAAAGGTGAAGGCCAATAGCTAAGAAAAGCCTGGAATCATGGCCAACTTAATTGAGAATATCAGTGGTCCTAGTCCTTCAACACTTGGACTTTGATTCTCAATGACACATCTTGTTGTAAGCACTGGACTTGTTATCTCTTGATGATTTAAGTATTTGTGGTGCTAGATGAAAAAAGTTTATAATATGTGACTATGTGTATTTTCTTGATACATGAAAATGAACCTTTTATAATATTATCCAACTGCAGATAGACCCTTTGTAGCTCTATTATCACAGAAGACCCCTAAGTGAAACTTTTTTAGTTTTGACTTTTTTTTACAGGAAGTCTATTTTCAGAATTAAAAAAAAAATCTCTTTCTTTGAGAGTAAAAGAGTCAAAAAAGTTTTTACAAAGGAGATCTATCTGCAACAATAGAACTACACGGAGTTTATGTTGAGTTTGGACAGGATAATATAGTTCTTTTTGAATGTAAAAGTATCTCTCCCAACACTCACTACAACTTCGTAGTTTTGGTGTCGTGGCAGGGATCGATTTTAAAAAGTTCTAAATGTTAAACTAACTATGATTGTGACTACCTGTAATTTGACATGTTGATCAAGCACTGGACCAAGATAACTAGACAAGTTGTTTCAAGGGAAGCTTCCTTGATCTGGGATTCTAGCCTGTACACCATCTTGAACTGAGTCCAATTATTGACATACACGGGCCACTGTCCAAAGAACATATGAGTGTTGTACTACTTGATAATTCATCAAGTTAACATAATTGATAAAAATAAACTTCTTATTGAATAACGCACTTAGTTGCCAGCCATTTTGGCCAGCAAAAAACATATGGCTTCAGCTTTCTCTGTAAAGATGGGTGTCGGCGCTGCAAGAACGCAGGAGCGCCAATTTTACCTCTCATCGCAGAGAAGACCGAGGGAGCCTCTAAAGATTAGTCAATGTGCCTTGTTGGGTGATATTAAAATTTGTGGTGATCAGCTCAGGTTTAAGAAAGAGCAGAAGATGAATTGGGCAGATGTCGATATTTTTGGGAGATCCGGATTTTCTACATTAGCAATGCTTGGTATTGAACAGGTAATGGTTCTACTTGATTACTGCATTGCACGTATATGTATGAAATTTTAGTGCACTTACCTTAAAAGAAGTAATTCCAACTTCAGATTGCAAGTGAATCGAAATAGTTTTAGAATAAGCTAGATTATGTACTGGTTTGATGAACCCTGCATCTTGAAGTGCTAAGCCAGAATCATTATGTACAGGTAATAATTCTATCTTGCGTTTTTAGGGTTATTAACTGTAAATCCCCGACCATATCTTCTTTAATTTCTTTTTACAGAGCAGAAATGTTGATAGCTTAGGTCTCACTGAACTTGATGTTGATTCAAATAAACATCATAAAGAGGATGACGACGATGATGACGAGGATGGTGAAGAGGACGATGATGAGGACGATGAAGAGGATGACGAAGAAGAAGACGACGAAGAAGAGGATGACGATGAAGAAGATGATGATGAGGAAGATGATGAGGAGGAGGATGAAGACGATGATGAAGATGACGAGGAAGATGAAGGAGGATGTGATGATTAGGAAAGCTATAACTGTTCAATCTGTTATAGTCTCTTTTCATGTCGACTCTAAGAAATGCTTATTAACTCAAGTTCTAATTGCCAATTTGCTTTGGTTTCGAGATAATTTAATCATGTACCAAGATTGTTAGGATATAAAAATGAAACTCTCAGTTAACCTGGTGAAGACTGCGTTCCTTTTTTTTTGTTTTTTTGAAATATGTAAGATTATTAAGCCTCATCGAACATGCGACAGTTTGGCCGAGTGGTCTAAGGCGCCAGATTTAGGCTCTGGTCCGAAAGGGCGTGGGTTCAAATCCCACAGCTGTCAACAAGCGTGTAATTTTTTGTTCATTTGCTTCATTTTGCTTAAAGACTAAGCACCCTTTCTTTTTAAAGATTATATGATATTTTTTCAGTGAAGATCACAAAAGAGAGTGAGTATCATGGAATGTATGCAAATTATGCTAAATATCCAAGAACTTATATTGCCTTTGGTCATGGATAACAAAGGGTTAATTTTATATAACCCCCCTGAACTTTAGGGTAACCCTCACTGAAGTTTGTTTCTCATATGGTCTCTGAACTTCGAAGCGTCTCAAAGACTAACCACGCCAATGCCCCCATAGGAAAAAGGCCCATCCTCCTGGACATTATCCTTTGCTTTTCTATATACATTGCTATTTAGCTTCTTAAAAAATTTTCAATCTTATTCACCTTTAAAATTGCTGTTTTAGTCCCATGTGAAAAACCATATTTTAATAAACTACAATGACGTACATGCATTGCACATAATCATACTTGTCATGTTTTCTGCCTATATATGCTCACTCTTAAATGGAACCATCAATAAAGAAAGAAAAAGAAACATGAAAATCCGTTAATGTTTTGAAATTAAAGGATCACATTACATTTAAAATGCAGAGTTTTGTAACAAATGAAAAGAAATTTCAAAAGTCAAGTTTGTACCAAGTTTTTTTTTTGGATAGAAAAATAAGGGATGATCTCTGTTCATTAAAAACCAAAAAGAGTACAAAGTTGTTTAGTTACATATAAAACACGGATATCAACTGTATCCTAATATTAGTAGATAGAAAATAGAATTTCTTCTAATTAGTAACGTATAACCTTCTTCTTCCAAAGATCTGTGAAGATGAGGAGTGGGCCTTGCCGTCACACATCGTTAGCACGGATATAGGGAAGAACCAAAGCCAGAGCTATACATATAATTAGCAGAAATTAGATTTTCTATAGATTAACAGTCAAAAAAACTTACATCCAGAAGTCAAGTTTATAACTGAATATAAAATATACATAGAAGCAAACATAACCAAACTTGTAGAATATCTCATCATTCACTTGGAATAGGATTTGCTTCAAGCATTGCCGAGACCTTATTTGCTTTTGTTCCAGTTTTAGAGCATGTCCAATCATATGATCCAGAAATTGTAAAGTTTATGATAGAATGATGGGAGAAATTAACATGTTAAAAAAGATACTTGTTTCTTGCAATCCACGGACTCCAGCTTACTGAAGAGAAAATAGTTTGTCATGTGTATCCTTTATTATTTTGTAGTCTCTCCAAAGTCTATAAAAGTTCATCAAGAGTTGAAGGCCATTGGAATGGAAGATAATAGTTTTTGAAGTGTCTCCAAACTTTTTCAGATAAGGGGCATGAAAAGAAAAGATGATCTCTTGATTCCAATTGCAAGTAAGTGTCTCCAAACTTTTTCAGATAAGGGGCATGAAAAGAAAAGATGATCTCTTGATTCCAATTGCAAGTTACAAAAAGAACATATAGAATCTTAAGGGGCATGAAAAGAAAAGATGATCTCTTGATTCCAATTGCAAGTTACAAAAAGAACATATAGAATCTCCTTGCCATCCCTTAGTCATAAGGTTTTCCTTAGTATATACTCTATTAAGGGATAATAACCAAGTAAATATCAGCACCTTGCTAGGAAGAATTGAGTTCCAAGTTAATTTGTAAGAAGAAGATATTATCCCTCTGGAGTTTAGAAACTTGTAAAAAGACTTAACTGAAAAAACTTCATTTGATGATAGAGATCATTTACAGACACACCCTCAGACACACCTTATGCCACACCCCCTCTCTCAGCTGCAGTGCACGGGGCCCACACATGAGATTAAAAAAATCTCATGTGTGGGCCACGTGCACTGCAGCTGAGAGAGGGGGTGTGGCACAAGGTGTGCCTGTACCATTTTCCAAAAGATACAGAGGAGAGAAAGTACGAGGTTGCTGATGACGAAAACTCCATGGTTGGTTGGTTTGAATTTGATGTGACATTATGGTCGTCTTCGATTTTACAAACAACAACTTTTTATAGCAATTTATGTAAATAGGTAAGATTTGGGAAGCTTTAATTGATGGATGGCAGTATACGACGGTTTTAGTGTTTGTATGAATATTTGAAAGTTTTAGAATTTGTATAGATTACATAGAAGATGAATGGCCAATTCTTTGAAAAATGGACATGTGGCCAATTCTCTAAAAAATTGACATGTGGCATCCTAAGGTATTGTTTTAATACATTAGATAGAAAATTGCAAAGGAGTGAATTTCATGGAAAATATGCAAATTATGCTAAATACCCAAGAACTCTTATTGCCTTTGGCCACGAATAAGGACTAATTTCACTTAACCCGTGTTGCACATAACTCCTCTGAATTTTGTTTATCTTTCATAAACTTGAAACTTTGATGTACCCCCACCAAAAAAAAAACAGCCCAAAAAAAACTCAACCCAAACTCCCGACCTTTGAATTTGTTATTATAGCTTTTCAAATAATTTCATTCTTATGTACCTTTGAATTTGCTATTTTAGAAACAATAACTTAAGCCAATGTGAAAAACCATATGAGACGCCCCAAAGTTCAGGGGTTAAGTGAGAAAAACAAAATCTTAGGGGCGTATGTGCAACACCCCCCATAGTTTTAAGGGTGTAATATGAAATTAACCCAAAAAACTCAGACTGAAAACGGACGGCAAAAAAATGAAAGCCAGAAACCACATAACTGAACGATCTACATCCTATTAGTGCGCTTGCATGTATATTTCCTTTCCTTCGCTTGTTAATTATCATGAAAAAAGTATTCATTCCAGATATCACAATCTTTTTATTTTATTTTTAATACCTTCGCTCGAATCTAACCCCCACCATTTATTGAGAGAATCACGCCGATAATTTTCTGAAGAATCCAATGCCACATGCTTTTTATCTTAACAGGACATTTCATCTTTGGAAGCACTTGCTTCATTGTACAAATGTTATTGGGTTAAATAAACAACACAATGTAAGCCTGGAGGAATTACCACCTTGCCACATCTGATAAAAATCGTGATATCTAGTGCATTATTGTTGTAGCTCATTGTTCACTTTGATAGGTTTTTAATGGTAAACTGCAAATACATCTTCTGCACTACAGGGTTTTTAAAGGTTTTTTTTTCCCATAGAAACCATCTTTTAAATAATCATTCTGTAGAAACCAATATTTATAATCAATCACCTGGACCCACTTTTCAATTATTCTTTTTAAAAAAAATTGATCTCATCTAACCTCCATTGTCGATCATCTCTCTAATTTACGTGGTATTTTTACCACTAGTTTTTACAACAAACTCCAAAAAATTAGACTTAAAAGTGAGTCTAGGTGATTGATTGTTTTAAAAAAATCATTTAAAGATGGTTTATGTTTAGACTGTCTGATTCTCAAATAAAAAATATCTCCTTGTTATATGTCACGTAAAGGTTTTTGTTTTTCTTACAGAAACTCCATGGTTGGTTGGTTTGAATTTGATGTGACATTATGACCGTCTTCAACTAATTTTACAAACAACAAATTTTTATAGCAATTTGTGTATAATAGGTAAGATTTGGGAAGTTTTAATTTATGGATGGTAGTATACAACGGTTTTAATGTTTGTATGAATATTTAGCCAATTTCTCTAAATTTTACAAATGTTGAATATTTACCCTCTACATATGCAAATAACATGATATAGTTTTTTGTGTGGCATAATGAGCTAAATGCTACGAACAAAGTCAGAGGATAAAGAGATATATAAGTAAGGGTGCTCAAAAAGTCAGAGGATAAAGAGATTTATAAATAGGGGTGCTCAAAAATATCAGTGTCCAAGGAAATTTCTATATTCGTATCTAAAATCTATAAGAGTAGGATATTCTTATATTGTAAAATATCTGAATTCGTATCCGGAGTATTTGAATATATATTGGTCATACTATTTACATAATTTTAATCCTTAAATTAATGATTTCGAAGTTAATTTTGATGATCAAAATATCTAGTCAGAACTTTTCAAATTAAACAAACATATGAATGAAACCATCTTGTATCTATGAACTATAATTTTTTCAATAATATCAAGTTTTTAATATCTATTTTTGTATCCGCATGTATATCTGCTTATATATTTAAATGCATATCAATATTTGTATTTAATTTTAGCAGATATGGATAAGCATGAACGATTATGAATTTTTCTTCCGAGGCATATCTATATCTGAATCCATATTCATGACCGGGAAGTGAATACGGTTATGGTACTTATCATATCCAAAATGTTTCCGGATCATATGCAACCCTAGATATAATCCCCATAGCACCCATCTTATTCTCTGCCTATGCTGAACTTTTACATATTTGAAGCGTATTTGCTAGTAGGGGCAGAAACAAACCAAATATTTAACAAACAATTCAGTATTTATTCGCCTAAGTATTTGGTCATATTCAATCCGATAGTTCATTTAATATAGATGAATAGTTTGTTATTATTTGATTCATAAATGAATAGAATTTATCCATGGGTACATTCGATTCGTTTGTTTAATAAACTATTCATTTATACAGTCAATCCATTAAAAATTTATTTTGATGCGTGCAATTGTGGATCAATAGATTTTTATTTGTGAACATTATATATCACTATGTTGCATCTTCATCAACTATATCATGTTTGGCTCTATTTTAATACTAGGATAACAAATTTTTACCGAATATCTAACAAATATGGATCGAATAATTTGTAAAGATTACCAAACACTATAAATGAATGTTTACGAACAGTTGTCAAATATTTGATCACTATCCGAATCGAATTCGAACATTGATTTCGTATTCATTTTGAATTTGAAATACGAATTCGAATAGTCGAATAAGAATTTAATACGAAACGAATATTGAGGTATTAGACTCAATTCGGTCCCACCCCTATTTGCTGGTATTTGTCCAAATCATACATGTGGTAGAGAAGCTCTAGATCTATTAAACTAAACAAATAAAGCTTAGATGAATTTGTTAAAAAAAAGAGAAAATTTCCCAACTCTGCAACATTTCAAATAGACCTTAGCACACTTTGCCATTGTCCTTGTTTGCAATAAGTACACAATTGCCTTGAATCTTTCAAGGCAAAATTACAACACTAGTATATTTTATTGATCCTATGTAATAGATTAGTATATATTCTTATTCTAGCGACGATGTGTTATATTTTGTAAACAACACTCACAAATAGTTTTTATTTTTTGGCCAAAGCTAAAATCACGCTGAATAAAGTTATGTGACTCGTCATGTGCGTCCGACATGAAGTATGTGAGCTTCATGTGGCTAGGGGTTAGCGAGATCCAATTAACAGTTATGAAACCAAAAACCAAAAGTTCTCTCTCTCTCTCTCTCTGTTTTTCTTTCTTTCTATGTTAATGTGAGGGAGAGGAAGAATCTTTCCAAAATTGTGTCGTATTCCCTTTGTGCATGAAGACGGGGAACTCTAAGTCTTGATTTCTTCAAGTAGTGACTCGTCATGTGCGTCCGACATGATGTATGTGAGCTTCACGTGGCTAGGGGTTAGCGAGATCCAATTAATAGTTATGAAACCAAAAACCAAAAGTTTTCCTTCTCTCTCTGTTTTTCTCTCTTTCTATGTTAATGTGAGGGAGAGGAAGAATCTTTCCAAAATCGCATAGTATTCCCTTTGTGCATGAAGACGGGGAACTCCGAGTCTTGATTTCTTCAAGTAGTTGTGAGACACAAGAGATGATTCCACCTTCATATATATTTCATCCCATTGAGCTCTTGTTCACTTCTTCCTGCGCTCATGCTTGAAACTAACCTTGAGCTAGAGCTTAAGGTTGAAGAATCCAACTCCAATATCAGTTGCCCTAACCAATTTTATCTTAGGAAGAAGAAGAATACCTCCAATTTAAACCCAAATTTTTTTAGTCCAAGTGCCTATCATGTTGGTAGCTATATAGGATGCACGTGACGAGTGAAGTGACTGTAAGTCGTTGGAATTTAGGGTCCAATGAAAAAATAGGGCTACTTGTCACAGTAGCCGATAAAATACACCATATCATCACTGAAGTAAGAAAATATACTAATCTGTTGCACATGGTTAACAAAAAAAATACCAAATCTAGTAATTTTTCATGATTATTAGTTCTATACTTTTTTCATCTTACATGATAAATTAGGAGAACATTTTTTATGTATATCTATACATACATGAAGTAGTGCATAAGAAAATGAGCGCAATATTTTATATAGCTCAGTGGACTTATTGCGACCAACTAGGGATGCGAAATAGTTTGGACACAGCTCGGATATGACACTTATCGTATCCGTAGTGCTTGCCAATCATGAGTACCTTCGTAAGAAAAATTCATATTTATTTCCGCTAAAATCGAATATGAATACAAATACACATGTGGATACAAAATGGAATGGAAAAAACTAAACAATATGCTTTTTCCCTGTATGATACAAGAGAGTTCATTAATGTTTAGATATTTGGGGTACAAATACTTTTTTTTGGCACCCCTGCAACCAACTCTATCTCTGTTACAAAATTTGGATACAGGGTTTTCAAATTCAAAATCTGTTTATAATCTTTATTTAAAAAATTAAAAAAACTACATTCCCAAAAAGGGAAAATAGAGAAAGGATCATAAAAAGAGTGGCCTTCGCAAATATAACGTAACCAAGGCGTCTAAGCGCAAAATATCCCAACACCGCGAATACAAGGGCGTGAAAATATCAACCCCTCCTGATCATTAGTTCTCCTGGCCCGTATTATTATCAGCCTTTTCGGGGACAAGAGAAGGGGATCAAATCGCCGATAAGAGCCCCTGACATCAATCGGGGCTTTTTTCGACCAAGAGAAACCCTAACCCTAGATTTGTTTTCCCGTCCAATTTCGATCTTTGGGAGAGAAAGGAGAAGAGAAAGAATCGGAGGCGATGGGGGATCATCACAGCGGCTGCTGCCCGTCAATGGATCTGATGCGATCCGAGGCGATGCAGCTCGTTCAGGTCATCATCCCGATGGAGTCCGCTCATCTCACCGTCTCCTACCTCGGCGAGCTCGGCCTCCTGCAGTTCAAAGATGTAATCTCGATGAAACCCTAACCCTAGATCTGGTCTTAAATTTTTACTGATTTTGAGTTTGATCTATAGTTTTCTACCCAGTTCTGTTTCTATTATTTGTTTGACAGGGTTTAGATTTGAATTAGATTTAGGGTTTTTAGCTTTATTGATGATTAGATTGGGAACCCACTGGTGTTTGAACTTACGTTATAGATCTAATAATTCAAAAAGTCTGAACTTGTCAATGTATTGGTTCTACTATGAGTATTTTTGTCTTTGAATCGTTCCATGTTTCTGTTTTTTTTTAATTATATGAGGGTAAGCTATATTTCTCAATGGGCTGATTTTATAGTGCATCATGGGCTGTTCCAGTGAACTTACTTTAAACTTTCAACTATGATTGTTCTTTAGCCTTTAATAGAGTTTTGATCTCATATTTTTGTTTGTGCAGCTTAATGCAGATAAGAGTCCGTTCCAGCGAACATATGCTGCCCAGGTAATGCTAGTTTTCTCTTATGCATCTTCTATGTAAATTATGATTAACATACCTATTTGTCAATGGAGTTTTTGTTTGATAAGCCGTGAAATTGAGGCCAGCTTAACACATGTTTTTAAAACTTTATCCACTTTCATTTACTTTCAGTTACATGGAAATTAGCATGCATGATCAAAAAGAGGCTTGCCTTGGGAGCTTGTCAGTCTCTGCTTAGATGCTAAAATTAGATTTTCTTCTCAGATAGTGGTTATGCCTTAATTTTTTTAAATATTTTTTTATTTAATTTGTAGTTAAGCCAGATTTGTGCACTGTTTGTAATGGTCCCTCCCCTCTGAAGGGGAAAAAGTGACATGGTAGATAATCATGACTGAAGTTCAATTAAAAAAAGGTGGATTTAAACCAATTCTCTACTGGTTGTTGGAAGTTGTTTAGTTTATTTTATATGAAGGCTCATTAATTCTTTGGACCCAAATTCTGATCTAAACTGTGTTTAATTTTAAGTTAATGTATCAAATTATAAATTATCACTGTAGTCATTTTGGATCATTTCTGCAAATGTGCAATTTATGGCATGAGTTATAGATCAAACAAGGGACATATAGAAGACAAATAAAAAGTTAAGACTTTGTATTATATAAATTAAGCAAGCATGAAAAAACTGCACTATGTGCCTAGTTAACTCCGTGAATCAATTCAAATATCGTTCTTTCATGTGAATTCTGCATATGTGCAACCATTTTACCGTATGTAATTTATGTCTCTGCCATCTAATCTGCAAAGTAAGTGCTCTTAATGTTAACAACATAGAGGGGGGACGTAGTATTAAAAGAATAAAGACGAGTGATAAATAAATGAAGACATTCGAACCAGTGAGAGATTCATACAGATCAGTAAACTGCATGAGATAGTGGAATAAGGACTTAAGACGGAGAATTTTAGGATGTCTGCTGTACTAATTCTGGTTTAGATAGAGCTCTTGTAAAGTGGGTTTAGTAACACAGTTATCTCATAGTGAATAGAGCACTCTGTAGGTTAAGAATTTGAACAGTAGGAAATGAGATGGAAAGGTAAAATCTGAAAATCAAAACTTAAAATATGGGTGAATGAATGAGAAATCTCATTAAAGTTTATCAATGCACTTTCGAGTATGGTTAAATAGAGATTTCAACTCCAGCAGGGTTAGTTTGTTTCATGTGAACCATGTGCCAGCAGGTATCTCATTTAATCTTCATTATAGTTTAGCATTATAGCTATATGTGACGGGCACTGTTTTGTTGGTTCAGACTATTATGTCTGAGTTAATTTACCTACTGCTGGGTCATGCTGACAACTTTGCAGCACTATAGTTATCTAACTGTATTTTTTTTGTTTTGTTTTTTTTGTGATGTTTTACTTTGGTTGCTCTATTTTGATTCATCTGTTGTGCTTCTATAAGATCACCTTCAAAAACTTTGGTTCAAAACTTCATGTAACTGAATTCCCAAGTTCATTCTTAGGACTCGTTGGATAACTTACTGATATATTTAATGCGTATAGATTAAAAGGTGTGGGGAGATGGCACGAAAACTTCGTTTCTTTAAAGAAAAAATGACAAAGGCAGGTATATCACCTTCAGCAACGACCATAGAAAGAAACCATATAGATCTCGATGACCTGGAGGTATGTAACTATGTATGTTATTGATGACTTCGTCAAGTTGAACTCATGCAAGTTTATTCTTTACTATTTTAGTACTCTAATGCTCACAAACTTGTTATGCCATACGTTTATGGCAGATAAGGCTTGGTGAACTGGAAGCTGAGCTGATTGAAGTTAATGCCAATACTGAAAAGCTGCAAAGAACTTATAACGAGCTGTTGGAGTATATGCTTGTTCTACGAAAGGTATTTGTTTATTTTCATTTATCACTTGATGAGCGCATAAAAATCTCTTCTCATATATTTTCATTTTTTTTGAGTTGAAGTATATAAAGTGAATCTTTTGAAGAAATAGGATAGTGACAACAATTATGAATTTCCATTTAAAACATTGGTTTTTACAATTCTGAACAATGAAAATATATCTGGGATGCAATTTGTTTGTTTAACAAATGAGCAAATTTTCTGGTCATCTTACAGGCTGGTGAATTTTTTCACTTAGCTCAAAATGATGCCACTGCCCAACAGAGAGAAATTGAAGCTCGCCAAGTAGGGGATGGTCTTGAAAGTCCTTTGCTGTTGGAGCAAGTACGATTTGAACCTTGTTCTGTTCTGATATATATTCACAGAGAGCCAAATTATCTGAATGGTAACTCTACACTATTTTTTGTTCAGGAAATGCTAACTGATCCGTCAAAACAAGTAAAGCTTGGTTTTGTTAGCGGCCTTGTATCGAAAGCAAAGTCCATGGCTTTTGAAAGAATTCTGTTCCGTGCTACTCGGGGTAACATATTCCTTAAACAGTCTGTTGTTGATGAACCTGTCACAGATCCAGTTTCTGGAGAGAAGGTTATTTTCCTCTCTTTACACTATGGAAGGCACAATGCAAAATGCTTTATTCTTCAAATGATTTTAATAATTATGTATTTTTCATGCTATTTGAACAATATCTCTCTGATCCACATTCTTTAACAGTGTTTATGTACATATTCTGTATCTGTCATGTTCTCATTACCTCTCAAATCATAATTTTTAGTTCTTTGCAGTGAAACATGAGTCTGACACATTCACACATGAATATGTATGTCTTACGTTTGCTCCTGATGGGTGGTTCATATAAAGTCATTGTTAATACCAAATTCACGATTTGCCCCCTCTCTGAGGGATGGTCAACTTGTGAGCTGAAATTTGAGGTTACTTGTTCCTTTTCTTTTCAAGGGTTAATTTGAGATTAAAAATGGAAAATGTTTTTGTACTAAACTGTAGATGGTGTAAAATTAAATCTAGAAAATGGACACTAAGGGCCAGTCTAATATTGCTGGATCTTATAATAAGTTGCTTATAAAAGCAGCTTACAGAAGCAACTTATATAAGCAACTTATGTAAGTAGCTGAAAATATAAGTTTGGTAATCAAATATCAAAAACTTCTTAAAAAATAGTTTAGGTGTTTGGTAGAACTATGCTTGATGATCATTATTAAAAGATACAAGGAATATATGGTGTATAACTAAACAATGTAGAAGTTGCTTTTAAAGGCATCCTTAGATCGCTTCTAAAAGCACCCACTTAGGGCCCGTTTGGTTTGATAGAAAGAAGTATTGAAACTAGGAAATAAATCAAAGAAGTAACATCTAAATTTATGAAGTAGGAAGTATTGGAAGTAATCCTTTTTTGGTTTGTTTCACATATTTTTTAAGTAGTGGAAATAGTAGTTTTTATTCTTCATTCAATTTGTTTGGATAGCAATTAAAAAGTTGTTAGAAAGTAACTTAAAAGGAAATATTAATAAGAAAATTATTTATTTCCTAATTAATGCACATTTCACCTACTTTCGGGCTACTTCCTAGCCTTGAGGGAAGGAAAAATATTTAGGAAATAGGGATGACATATAGGCGCCACATCAGCGTGTAAGGAAATATTGGAAGTAGGTTTTTCAGAGAACAAACATGTTTTTTTTTTTGCTCGGAAGTAGCAGAAGTAGCCTCTACATCATTTACTTCAGCTACTTCATAATTACTTATGTGCAAACAAACATGCCTTTAAAAGCAAAAGCAGTTTCAGTGAGCATGTTAAAAAAGTTTTCACCAAACTATTATTGACTGCTTCTTGAAAAAATAAGCAGAAGCACCCTAAAAAACCAATACCAAACTGGCCTCAAATAGTTTTGGGAACTGAACACATAATGTTGACATTTAGTTTGCTTCCTGTTCTATCCAGTGAAACCGGTTTTGTTATTTTGGTGGGTCGTGACATCCCTTTTTCTTGTATGCAAGTCCAATTTAAATATAATTTCCTGGCAAATTTTCTCTTAGTTAACCTCCATCTACCCTTTTCTTTGTAAGTATACCGGTGTCCTTTAACATTTCTTCAATACGGCCAGTCTTCTC